CAGGACCACTCCAAGTGGGGCTATGGTACAGCCACTGTCCCTTTTTTGCTTCTCCCCACATACCAAGCCAGTCCATTTGTGACCCAAGCTTACGCTTTTTCTTCCTTCCTTCATCCACTGGTTGTAAGGAGGCCCCTTGGTGAGCTGAGGGAGGCGCTAGGGCACCAGTGTGGATGATACGGGCATCGAGATTACCTGCTCAGGCAGCTTGCTCAGTCTGGCTTGAGCCTGATCCCAGCCGCTGGGTCCATCTGACATTATTACTTGGTGGGCCCGCAGGACTCAGCTCATGATGGGGCACCTGGAGGTACAATCACTTGGTGCCCCATAGTCAAGCATTTTGTCTCTTCTGGAGCCCAGGAAGTGTTTCTCAAGAGTCATGTAATTCTCTGCTGCAGATGGCCTGGCCTTGCTCCAGAACCCCAAGGGCCTCCCACTCAAGCTTCCCGTAAGCTCCACATTGCATCTTTTCCCACTACTGACTTATCCGGTATCATAGGATCTACCAGGTCATATGGCCTAAGTGGAAAGACTGCTGGCACCATAGTATGGATCTGCTGCCGAGCCCTTTCTGCTCTGGCCCCCATTCAGGGACGGCAGCCTTAGGTTGCACCTGAAAAATGAATCAGAGCAGTATCTCCAGGTGTGGAATATGCTGCCTCTAGAACCTGAAGACACCTACCAAGTGTTGTGTGTTTTTTCTCATGGTAGGAGGTGTGAGATGCAATGCTTTGCCCTATTACTTTGGGGGGGGTTGTCCTGGGCTTGCCTTGGACCACTATACCCCTAGAACTTTTACTAATGCAGCAGGCCCCTGAGTCTTTGTAGGGTTGATCTCCTACCCTCTGGAGTGCATGCGTCTTATCAAGACAATGTGCTACTCATCTCTTGCTCATCTTGCCCAATCAATATTGATGTCACTGATACAGTGGTCCAGTGTGACATTCTGTGGATGTCCAGATGGCCCAGTGCCTTTGGACCATATGATGACACAGGGTGAGAAAGACAGCATAGGCCCGTGGCAAGACCATCAACAAATATTGTTGTCAGTCCCATGTGAACATGAACTGTCGCAGATCCTCTTTTCTGATCAGAACAGAAAAGAGTACATTCAGGAAGTCAGCGGCCACCTGCCGGACCTGAGGTCTGCTCTAGCAATGGCATCCTGTGCATTACAGCTGCTTCCCTCGGGGATACTGCTTGGTCGAGCTTGCAGGAGTCTACAAACATTCTCCAGGAGCCAAACTGGTCAATTCGGTGGGAGATATGATGGGACTAACACCCCTGCATCCTTTAGATCTTTCAAAGTAGCGCTAGTTTCCACCATCACCCTTGGGACAGATATAATATTAGCTTGGATTTGCTGATTTGATCAGGGGAGGGGTGTGTAGTTCCAGAGACATCCATTTGGACCTCCCCACTACAATAGCTCTTACCCCACAAGCCAAGGAACCCACGTAGGGGTTCTGACAACTACAGATATGTCCAGTTTAATTATGCATTTGCAGACTGGGACCCACTTCGAACAGGACCTGGGACAGGACTTCATTTACCACCTTTCCACTGTTGTGCTTCTCAGCATGGCTGGTGCCACTCTTACCAGCATATTCCTTATTGATTTTGTAAGTTGGGTAGATCCTCTGGGCCTTCCCATAGAAGAGAGTCAGCTGATGAGTTTCTTAGACTTACATAATATGTCTTTTCTAACATGTCTGCTTCTTTGAGTCCTTTGATCCTTTTTTCCACAGTCTGCCATGGAAGATCTGGCATTTCTGCCAGTGTGGACCACTGTTTTCTCCAAGCTTCCACAAGTCATCCAACAGTGTATCGGCAACATCTCCTAGAGTCCTTGCCAGGGTTTTAAGTTCTGGGTCCTGGGAGAGCGCTCCAATGTCATGTTCCACCTCTTTGGTCCATTGTCCTCAGGAACCATTTTCATGCATACTTTTACAGCTCTTGGCAGTACATATTGGCCAGATTTTTCAGCTTCTGTGTATTATTTCTTTCCTTCCTTTGCAAGCTTAGAACCTCTCCAATCAGGTGTGCTAGGATTTGACCCTGCTTATTGATCTGGTTGCTAAGAGGGGAAGGGGGTAGGTTCTGAAAGGGGCAAGCATTGTTTTATAAGGCACCTGCTTCATTCAAGTCCTCCGTATTACCTTCAAGCAGAAAGGTCTACATTCTAACAAAGAGGAGGGGGCTGCTTCTGCAGGCCCAGTGGGTTCAGGTGAATCAATAAGTTTGAGGTGTTACATGCATCTTCCCAGATATCCCTACCCCAAGTCTAAGGGCTTCATTCACTTGTCCTATTAGGGCCCTGATCATGGCATAGGAGATGTGCTAGGCCTGAGAACTCAACCTTCTCTGAGGTCTTGCTACACTTATGATTATGCCCTAACCTCTTGGTCCCCCCCCATCTGCCCTCCAGTTGCAGAAGATTGGGGTTTCCTTAAATGTAGCCAAGGGGGTCCTCTGGCTTTCACATTTTGCTTTGGATTAACGATTACTCACCCTGAACATGTCACATATTTCTTCAGCTAATCGATGGTGTTTAGCAAATAGTCACTGGAGTCTGCTTACCATTTCCCTCACGCCTCTCAAGTGCCAGGGATATTTCACCAACTGGGGCATTCCCTTCCACCAGTATCTCATTACAGTTCACTCTCAGTAAAAGTTACTGCTACCCCCAAACCCCAGGGGCCCACCCTGTAATTCTCACACTCATGAGAATGAACTCCGCACTGCCTCTTTTCCCACTACTGACACGTCCAGTATCATGGAATCTGCCAGATCACACGGTGCAAGTGGCATCCTGCCAGAACCACAGCCCAGACCCGCTATAGGGTGCTTTATGTTGCTACAGCATGTTCGGGGCTATCCAGGCTCCCCCCTCCCCGACAAATAATGGTTCCTCATTGCCTGCTGGCTGCTGGGTGACCCAATTCCAGAATGGTGTTAGAGTCTTTTTTGTGTGTGGCTTGACATCTCTCACACACTGGTTTAGGTTGGGTTCTCAGGAAACAGATTTGGAGGCAGGCGTTTGTATGCAGGAGGCTTGCTGGGGAGTGCCTTTAGGATCAACGCCTGTAAGGAGGGCAGGGTTGGGCAGAGGGGGACGCTGGTCCACAATGCAGCTGCATCAGAGGCCTCAGCCGATCCTAGGGCGACCTCAGGGGGTGGGATGGTCCTTCGGAGTCAGCCTAGACTGAGGCAAAGAGGCCAGCCTTTGTACGCACTCGCAGACCAGATATAAGACATGGGCGGCCTGAAGTAGGTATAACCTTGGCCAAAGCAGTCCTCTGTGAGAGAAGACAGATCCCAGTGGGACATAGCCCTAAGCTGTCAAGAGCTGATATTCAGGGTGCATTGGCCATGAAAAGGACATCTGAGCAGAGCGCCACAGTATTCACTACACTTATGGTCAAAAAAGTTTGCAATATGGGGCCTGGGTGGCTCAGTCGGTTAAGCATCTGCCTTTGGCTCAGGTCATGATCCTGGGGGGTCCTGGGATCGAGCCCCGCATCAGGCTCCCTGCTCAGTGGGGGAGACTGTTTCTCCCTCTGCCTCCCCACTCGTCTTCTCCGTCGCTTTCTCTGTCTCTCTGTCTCTCAAATAAATAAATAAAATCTTTTTTTTTTAAAGTTTGAAATACAGTGATATAACCTACACTCATCATTATTTTATAAGTGAAAAATGTGCAGGTCTCAGAGAAATTCTCTTCCAACACTTGTGAGGGGACAGTGTCAGTAATGGAGTGTGTGAGAGAAAGAGAGGGAGGGAGGGAGGGAGGGAGAGGGAGAGGAGAAAATGGCTGTGCTTGGAGTCTTTGGGGTTTGTCAGTGAAGTCGCCAGGGCCTGTCCGTGCTGTGTCAGAGGCAAGCCTGGGAGTGGCTCCTTTCGTCATCCCTCTTGTATGCGACCCCTGACTGGAGATGAGCTTCCGCGTGTAGCGAAACCTGTCGGGTAGGAATCCTGGGCCTGGGGGAGGATGCCGCTGGAAACCAAGCCCAGCCGGGTCGCGCCCAGGGAGAGTGACATGGCAGTTCCCCCTGCATCCGCTGTTGCTCCTACCCGTCTTCGCTCCTGTGGCTTCCCCTCGCCCTCAGCCGCACCGCTCCCCGCGCCCATCATTGCTGGCCCGGGCTTCCATCCCTAGACCCACCGCCAGCCTGCCCACCCCCGGTCTGCTCCTCCTTTTTTATATAGCCGCCCACCCACAGTTGGGTCCCTCACAGCGCACAGCCACACGCGGACAAGTGTGATCCCCCATGGGAAAGGGCCAGAGAGCAGAGAGATGCTTCAGGCCGCACAAGCAGACGCACGCAACTGAGGCATGCCCGGGCACACTCCATATACACGTATTCTCTACGGGTTTGTTTTGTTTTGTTGTTTTTTGGTTTATGCTTTTTGGTTTTGGGTTTTTTGCCATTTACGAACCTCCATGCAATTCCAAAGTACGTTAACAGCTTACGAAGCCCTCCTCCTTTGGCAAGGCTTTTCAAAAACATCTCTGGTCGGGGCGCCTGGGTGGCTCAGTCGTTGAGCGTCTGCCTTCTGCTCAGGTCATGATCCCAGGGTCCTGGGATCGAGTCCCACATCGGGCTCCCTGCTCAGCGGGACGCCTGCTTCTCCCTCTCCCTCTCCCACTCCCCCTGCTTGTGTTCCGTCTCTTGCTGAGTCTCTCTCTGTCAAATAAATAAAATCTTAAAAAAAAAAAAAATTTCTGGTAGCAGTGTGATGAGCAGACCACGCTCTGGGGAACGCCTGCCTGCCGGCTGTGGTTTGAGGACTTAGTTTAGAGTTCACAATGTCCTCTGACATTTACACACCTCCATGAGAGATCACAACAGACTTTATGGTACCCAAAGCACTGTTGAGCTTGGCAAAGTGTTTCAACAATCACGAAACACTTTATGGCTCTGAAGGGGCAACAGGGTCAAAGGACTGGCCTGGGTTTTGTCTTCTGAGATTGATGGCTGTGCTCTGCTTTTCCTCTCCAGGGCAAAATACTTCAAAGGGAAAAAGATCCATGGAGAAATTGACATTAAAGTAGAACAGGTTAGTTGGGGCAGATGGACCTGGGGGTCGGCTGTCCAGAACGAAAACTGGTTGGTCGTTTTGTGTGATGTGGGTGAATCACGGATTTTTTTTTTCTCCTTCCTAGGCTGAATTCTCTGATCTCAACCTCGTGGCTCACGCCAATGGTGGATTCTCTGTGGACATGGAAGTTCTTCGGAATGGGGTGAAGGTCGTGCGGTAAGTAGAGAAAGGTTAACTTGGTGTTATGGGAGAGGCACGAAGACTCCCTTAGAGCTGAGGGAGAGCCCCCACTTCCCCACCCATCCTTCTGTGAGCAAGAACTTAGGTATATTACAATAGCCAAGATATGGAAACAATGTAAGTGCCCATTAGTGAATGAATGGATAAAGAAGATGTGGTGTGTATACACTATGAAATATTATTCAGCTACGAGAGAGAAGGAAATCCTGCCATTTGCAAAAACGTGAATGGACCTTGAGGACATTATGCTAAGTAAGATAAATCAGACAGAGAAAGACAAATACTGTATGATATCTCTTGTCTATGGAATCTAAAAAAGCCAAACTCATAAAAACACAGAGTGAAATGGTGGTTACCAGGGGCTGAGGGGTGGTAGAATAGAAGAGATATTTAGGGACGCCTGGGTGACTCGGTCGGTTAAGCTTCTGCCTTCGGCTCAGGTCATGATCCCAGGGTCCTGGGAGTGAGCCCCGCATCAAGCCGCTTATCGCCTATCAGGCTCCCTGCTCAGCGGGGATTCTGCTTGTCCTTCTCCCTCTCCCTCTGCCCCTCCCCCTGCTCATGATCTCTCTGTCTCTCTCTCAAAATAAAAAATAAAATCTTAAAAAAAATAGAAGAAATGTTTAAGGGTATCAACTTGCAACTGGTAGATAAGTAAGTCCTGGAGATCCAATGCACAGTATAGTGAATATAGATAACGATATTGTATCATAATTATCAAACTTACTAAGATTGGAACTTAATTATTCCCACCACAAAAAGGAAATGATAATTTTTTTTTTTAAAGATTTTATTTATTTGACAGAGAGACACAGTGAGAGAGGGAACACAAGCAGGGGGAGTGGGAGAGGGAGAAGCAGGCTTCCTGCCAAGCAGGGAGCCCGACGCGGGGCTCAATCCCAGGACCCTGGGATCATGACCTAAGCTGAAGGCAGACGCTTAACGACTGAGCCACCCAGGCGCCCAAGGAAATGATAATTATGTGATATGATAGAACTGCTAAATAACGCTACAATGGCAATCCTATTACAGTATATAAGTGTGTCTAATCGACATGTTTTACGCCTTAAACTTACACAATGTTATATGTCGATTTAAAAAGAAATTAGGGGGGCGCCTTCTCTCCTTCTGCTGCTCCCCCTGCTTGTGCTCTCTCCCTCTCTCTCTGTCAAATAAATAAATAAAATCTTTAAAAAAATTAAATTAGGTACAGAATGTGGGAAAATAGCTTCTCTTCTGCAGAGCCAAGAATCCTAGCAGACCACAGGCCAAACTTTTTTTTTTTAAGAGCTTTTTGGGTAACTTCATTTTTTTTTAAAGATTTTTATTTATTTATTTATTTATTTGACAGAGAGAGACACAGCGAGAGAGGGAACAGAAGCAGGGGGAGCGGGAGACGGGGAAGCAGGCTTCCCGTGGAGCAGGGAGCCCGATGCGGGGCTCGATCCCAGGACCCTGGGATCATGACCTGAGCCGAAGGCTGACACTTAACGACTGAGCCACCCAGGCGCCCCAAGCCAAACTTTTTAGTTATTAAATCAGCAAATATTTCTTGAGAATCTACTGTATGCCAGGTGCTGCCCTCAGCATTTTACATTCAGCAAATATTTATTAAGCTCCTATTGTATACCAGGACCTCTTGTATATGCTGAGGACCTGGCAGTTAACAAAACCGACCCCCAAAAAGAGCCCCCCCCAAAAAAAAACCCTCTGCCCTCATAAAGCTTATATTCTACTGTGGGATACATACAATAAACAAATCAGAAAATGTAAAGGTGCTAAGAAAAAATACATAGCAGCAAAAGGATATAGGAATCATTGGATGGTGGAGGGGTCTACAGTTTGGATGAGGAAGACCAATATTGTGAGAGACATTTTTTTAAAGGTTTTATTTATTTATTTGAGGGAGAGAGCACAAGCAGGGGGAGCGGCAGAGGGATAGGGAGAAGCAGGCTTCCCGCTGAGTAGGGAGCCCGATGGGGCTCAATGCAGGGCTCGATCCCAGGACCCTGGGATCACCAGATAGGGAAAGGGTGGAAAGGGTGCTGGTGCGGGAGGAAACAGCTTGTGTGTGTGTGCTGAGCTGAGCAACCACTTCGCAATTTCTAGGAGCTGCGGAGATTTAGAAACCTGTTTTTTTTTTTTTCTTTTTAAGATTTTATTTATTTATTTGACAGAGAGAGAGAGAGAGGCAGGCAGAGGGAGAGTGAGAAGCAGGCTCCCCACTGAGCAGGGAGCCCGACGTGGGGCTCGATCCCAGGAAGGCAGACGCTTAACTGACTGAGCCACTCAGGTGCCCCCGTAGAAACCTGGTTTTTGTTCTAAGGGTGGTGGGGAGCCCTGGGGGCATATCCTTGACACCTCTCCCCCTGCCACCCCAGGTCTCTGAAGCCAGACTTTGTGCTGATCCGCCAGCACGCCTTCAGCATGGCACGGAACGGGGACTACCGCAGTTTGGTCATTGGGCTGCAGTATGCTGGGATACCCAGCGTCAACTCTTTGCATTCTGTCTACAACTTCTGTGACAAGCCCTGGGTGGTAAGTGACAGGAAGGGCGCTGCTGGCGAGGGACTGTCTTGTGCATGCATGCATGTGGGAACTCGACATCACTGTGATCTGGGGGAACTGAGAAAGCTTGAAGCTCGGAATCCCAGCTTGGAGACTCTGTCCCGGTGAAGGGCATGCTGACCCATCTCTCCTGGCTTTTTCTAGTTCGCCCAGATGGTTCGACTGCACAAGAAACTGGGGACCGAGGAATTCCCTCTTATCGATCAGACCTTCTACCCCAATCACAAAGAGATGGTGAGTCTGGGGGACGTAGGATGGGCAGGAGGGAAGAGCATCGTGTGTACTGCAACGTTATTGCGAGTGGATGCGTTAGCAATGGCAACACTGTCAGGGAGTGCAGCCGCTGTGTGCTGTGGAGGGTGAAGTTGCTTCGCGACAGGGTTTATTAATACCATGGATTTACTGATGAGCTTACAGGTGTGATTTCAGTCACTGATCCCGTTTCTTATAGTACCTTTTCTCAGCAGTATTAAAAATCGGCTTCTACTGTAAATAAACAGATGTAATGTAATGAACCAGGCTATATTACATATAGAATCAAGTCATCATTACTAATATTAGCAAATATTCTTCCTGTAGAAATGTCACCAATGTTGCAAATTAGGACTGGCAATGAAAATCATCAGTAGCAATGTTATAAATTAAATTGCTTACCAATAGCAATTGAATTGTGGGTTACTATTATTATAAAATATAATCACCAATATTACAACTTATCGCTAATACTACAAATTACTGTTATTGGTGTAAATTATGAGTACCCATGTTATGAATCAGATTGCAGTTCCTAACAAATTGAATAATCATTACTAGTGTCATTGAGGATTATAGCTATTATTACAAATTATTATCAATATTACAAATTATGCTCTAATATAAATTATAAGTCTCTGTTTTGAGTTATATTATACTGAAAAGAAGTTGCATTATCATTACTAATATCATCAAATATTATAACTAATATTACAAATTATTGCCAATGTTACAAATTAAGATTACTAAGATAAATTATGAGTAACTATGTTTTGAATTATCTGATAGCTTCTAATAGAAATCATCATTAATATGGTTAACACTCCAGTTTATATTATGAATAATTACTAATATTAAAGTTATGATTACTAATATAAATTATGAGTACCACAGTTATGAATCAAATTTTAGTTGCAAATAGAAATTGAATCACCATTACTGATGCCATCAAATTTTACAACTAATTTTATAAATTTTTAACAATGTTATAAATTATGTTTGCCTATATAAATGATCATCACCACTTCTGTGAGTTAAATTACAGTTAAATGTCAATATTGACCCAATGTTACCAACTTGGTTAAATAAACATTGGTATTAATACTAAAAATTCTTACCAGCATTACAAACTATGGTCACTGATATAAGTTAACAGTGTTATGAATTAAGTTTACTTACAGATGAAGATCAAATCATTAGTTCTTAGGAAACCCAATTTGGTTATCATTATTATTATCCCACGTTCTTTGAGAGACAGAATAGCTGATTGTGGTTGAGAGCATGGACTCTAGCCAGAATTTCTATATTGGAATCCTAGCATATTACTTAATGCTCTGTGCCTCAGTTTGTCCACCTGCAAAATGTGGGTAATAATAGTTCCTGCCTCCCAGCGTTGGTGTGAGAATTAAATTACTTAATGAATGTAAAGGGGTTAGAACAGTGCATCTGGTATATATTAACTGCTCCCTAAGTGTTAACAAAGTTCCCTTCTATTCTTAACTTGTTGAGTGTTTTTATCATGAAAGGATGTTGAACTTTGTCAAATGTTCTTTCTATATTTATTGATATGATCATGTGGGTTTTTTTCCTTTATTCTATGAATATGCTGTATTACATTACTTGAGTTCCATGCGAGTTGAGCCGCATTTGCTTAACTGGGCCAACTCTTGCTTGGTCTGGTGTATAATCCTTTTTAGGATTCAGTTTTTAGTATTTTGTTGAGAATTATGGTATCTATCATCAGAAAAGATATTGATCTATTGTTTTCTTATGATGTCTTTGTCTGGTTTTGGTATCAGGGTAATAGTAGCCTCACAGAATGAGATGGTTAGTGGTCCCTTCTCTTCTATTTTGGGGGAGAGCTGTGAAAAGATTAGTGTTAATTCTTTTTAAATACTTGTAGTATGCACTGGTAAAGACATCGACATCTAGTCCTGAGCATTGCTTTTCTTTTTTTAAGATTTTATTTACTTATTTGATAGAGAAAGAGAGAGAGCACAAGTAGGGGAGAAGGGCAGAGGGAGAGGGAGAAGCAGGCTCCTCACTGAGCCAAAGGCAGTTGCTTAACCGACTGAGCCACCCAGGCACCCCCTTCCTGGGCATTTCTTTGTAGGACATTTATCATCATTATTATTATTATTATTATTATTATTATTATTACTAATCTAATGTCTTCATTTATTATAATATTATTCAGATCTTCTAGTTTCTCTTGAGTCAGTTTTGGTCGTTTGTGTCTTTCTAGGAATTTGTCCCCTTCATCTAGGTTTTCTAATTTATTAACATACAGTTGTTCATAGTACTCTCTTAAATTTCTTTTCATTTCTGTAAGGTTAGTAGTTAGGTCCCCTCTTTCATTCCTTATTTTAATAATTAGTTTTCTCTCTTTTCTTTCTTAATCTAAAGGTTTATCAATTTTGTTGATCTTTTCAAAGGACCAGCTTGTGGTTTTGTTGATTTTCTCTATTGTTTTTCAATTCTCTATTTCATTTATTTCCACTCTAATCTTTATTACTTATTTTTTATTGAAGTATAATTAACATGCAGTGTTAGATGTTAGTTTCAGGTGTGCAATATAATGATTCAGCAATTCTGTACCTCTCTCAATGCTCATCCAAGATTAAGTGTACTCTTAATCCCCTTTGTCTATTTTGTCCATCCCCTCACCCACCTCCTCTCTGGCAACCACCAGTTTGTTTTCTGTATTTAAGAGTCTAGGGGTTTGTCTCTTTTATTCTTTTTGTTTCTTATTTTTATTTAAAATCAATTAATTAACATATAGTGTATTATTAGTTTCAGAGGTAGAGTTTAGTGATTCATCTGTTGCATGTAACACTCAGGGCTCATTCTATCAGGTGCCCTCCTTAATGCCCATCACCCAGTTACCCCTTCCCCCCACCCACCTCCCCTCCAGCAACCCTCAGTTTGTTTCCTAGAGTTAAGAGTCTCTTATGGTTTGTCTCCCTCTCTGATTTCATCTTTTCCCCTATGTTCATCTGTTTTGTTTCTTAAATCCCACATATGAGTGAAATCATATGGTATTTGTCTTTCTCTGACTTATTTCACTTAACATTAACCTCTCTAGCTCTGTCCATGTCTTTGCAAATGGCAAGATTTCATTCTTTTCTATGGCTGAGTAATATTCCATTGTAAATATATACCACATCTTCTTTATCCATTCATCTGTCGATGGACATCTTGGCTCTTTCCACAGTTTGGCTATTGTGGACATTGCTGCTATAAACATCGGGGTGCACGTACCCTTTCGGATCCCTACTTTTGTATCTTTGGGGTAAATACCCAGTAGTGGAATTACTGGATCACATGATAATTCTATTTTTAATTTTTGAAGAGCCTCCATACTATTTTCCACAGTGACTGCACCAATTTGCATTCCCACCAGCAGTACGTGAGTGTTCCTTTTTCTTCACATACTTGCCAACACTTGTTATTTCTTGTGTTTTTGATTTTAGCCATCCTGACAGGTGTAAAGTGATATCTCATTCTGGTTTTAATTTGCATTTCCCTGATGATTAATGATGTTGAGCATCTTTTCATGTGTCTGTTGGCCATCTGTATGTTTTCTTTGGAGAAATGTCTATTCAAGTCCTCTGCCCATTTTTAACTGGATTATTTGTGGGCTTTTTAGTGTTGAGTTGTATGAGTTCTTTGTATATTTTGGATATAAGCCCCTTATCAGATTAACCCCTACTGATCTGAAAATATCTTCTCCCATTCAGTAGGTTGCCTTTTTGTTTAACTGGTGGTTTCTTTTGATGTACAAAAGCTTTTTATTTTGGTGTAGTCCCAATACTTTAATTTTGCTTTTGTTTCCCTTGCCTGAGGAGACATACCTACAAAAATGTTTCTATGGCAGATGTCAAAGAAATTATTGCCAGTGTTTGCTTCTAGGAATTTTGTGGTTTCAGGACTCACATTTAGGTCTTTAATTCATTTTGAGTTTATTTTTGTGCATGGTGTAAGAAAGTGATCCAGGTTCATTCTTTTGCATGTAGCTGTCCAGTTTTGCCAATACCATTTATTGAAGAGATTGTCTTTTCCCATTGTGTATTCTTGCCTCCTTTCTCACAGATTAATTGACCGTATAAGTGTGGGCTTATTTCTGCACTCTCTGTTCTTTTCCATTAATCTACATGTCTATTTTTGTGCCAGTACCATACTGTTTTGATTACTACAGCTTTGTAATATATCTTCAAATCTGGGCTTGTGATACTATCAGTTTTGTTCTTCTTTTTCAAAATTGCTTTGGCTATTTGGGGTCTTTTGTAGTTCCATAGAAATGTTAGGATTATCTGTTCTAGTTCTGTGAAAAATGCTTTTGGTATTTTGATAGAGATTACATTAAATCTGTAGATTGCTTTGGGTTGTATGGACATTTTAACAATAATGGTTCTCCCAATCCATGAGCATGGAATACCTTTCCATTTGTTTGTGTCATTTTCAATTTCTTTCATCAGTGTTTTATAGTTTTCAGAGTATAGGTCTTCCACTTCCTTGGTTAAGTTTATTCCTAGGTATTTTATTATTTTTGGTGCAATTGTAAATGTGATTGTTAATTTATCTTAGTTTCTTAGTTTCTCTTTCTGCTACTTCATTGTTAGTGTATAAAAATGCAACAGATTTCTATATATTAATTTTGTATCCTGTGACTTTTCTGAATTCAGCTATCAGTTCTAGTAGTTTTTTTGGTGGAGTCTTTAGGGCTTCTTATATATAGTATCATTTCATCTGCAAACAGTGAAAGTTTTACTTCTTCCTTACTAATTCGGATGCCTTTTATTTCTTTTTCTTGTCTGATTACTGTGATTAGGACTTCCAGTATATTGAATAAAAGTGGTGAGAGTGGACATCCCTGTCTTGTTCCTGATCTTAGAGGAAAAACTCTCAGTTTTTCCCCATTGAGTATGATGTTAGCTGTGGGCTTTTCATATATGGCCTTAATTATGTTGAGGTATGTTCCC